TGAGCATCATAGAATGCCAATTTACTAGAAGAAAGTATTCTTGTGTTGAGGGAGTACTTGAGTGGAGGCCCAATGTCCTTCTGCTACCTTAATACCAAACCTATAAATGTAGGCTCATAGAGTGAGTTTTTTTAAGGTGAGGATGCCAAGTCAAATAGAAGGACGCACATAGACATCACTGTCACCGTGGTGACATCTCTGGGGACAGCAGCACATGGGGTAGTGGGACTTTTCACAACAGACCAGTAGTGAACATAAGTAAGCCCAAGTAAACCTTGCCTACTTAGCTTATTAGGAACTCCATCCTGTCAAACAGACCCACTGTGATCCTGACTCCCAGCCTAGACTCAGTGAGTGTCGGGGATTATACATTTAAAAAGAGGCTTTGGTTCTTTGGGGGAAGGTACTGTGGGCTTGGGAGAGAGACACCCGCCGTCCTACCTGGGAGCAGACTCTTTGTTGTGGGGGGTGGAAATGTGAAACTGTTCACTACAGATTAGTACGTAAGCACCAGTCAGCCTGCACTTGCTTTGCTTTGGGGGCACCTGACGATGGAAATACCGAGACTGTTCCTGGGTTCAAAAGGAGCCCTGGTGGCCCGGTGGCTAAGCGCGTGGCTGCTACCAAAAAGTTGGCATTGGACGCCCCCAGCCCCTTTTGCAGAGACAAGCGTGGCCATCTGCTCCCCGCAAGGTGACAGTCCTGGAAATTCTGTAAGGTCTCTGAGTCAGCATCGACTCGATCATGTCTTATGAGAAATCTGACTGTTCTTTCAGAGCGGTGTTATTTGGCAGAAATCTAAAGTCTCCCAGGAAGAAGGTCATGTAATTGTCACAATGTCCCCAATTGCGTGGCTGAGAGGTTCCAGCTTGGCAGAGAGGACCACAAGCTCTCTCTGCTCTGCCTGTCGATGGTGTACATGTGGGCATTGGTCCTCTTTGCTACTGATCACAAGCTACACGCACACATCTGTATGCTTTTCTGTTCACGTCTAGTTGCCTTCCTTCCATTTCTCCCCGACTTGGAGGAATTGGACATTTCCTGGAATGACTTTGTCAGCGGAAGCCTCTACCTCATCGCCCCGAAGATGCATGTTGTCAGCAAGTTAAAAATCCTGCGCCTGGGCAGCTGCCGCCTCACCGCTGACGATGTGGGAGCCCTGGGTATGATCCAAACAACAATTTTCCATTAGAAGCAACGAGGTGGTGAGATCATCTGAATGCTGAACACGAGATCCCTTGGTGGGGAGGTGGTTAATGGATTCAGCAGCTAACCAAAAGGCTGGCGGTCTGAATCCCCCCCGGGGGAGGTCAAAAAGTGGAAGGATGTGTATTGTCTTGGTGTTGAGGAGTGATCGAGACTGAAGTGTGCAGCCTTTGATCTGTATCAGTGAGAGCTTCAAGTTCACTTCCAGCCATTGGGTTGTGGGTGGTGTCACCTGCATAATGAAAGTCATGAATAAGCCTTCCTCTCACCCGGAGGTCTCATTCTTCTTCATGTAATCCAGATTCTCAGGTGATCTGCTCAGCATGCATACTGAGTAACGATGATGAAAAGGTGCAGCCCTGACACAGACCTTTCCTGACTTTCAACAATGCAGGAGGTCCTTGATCCATTTGAATGACTGCCTGTTGGCCTAAGTACAGATCGGCATAACACTTTTCACAATGCTATCCATAATTTATGATCCACGCATTCAAGTATCTTTGCATAGCCAGTTAAATACGTACCCTCTGCTGGTAGCCAAGTACCATCTGTGTCCCATGTCCTCTCTGAATCCAGATGGAATTTCTTGGAGCCCCCTGTGGATGCACCGCAGCTGCTGTTTGCCAGTCATCTTCAGCAAAATGTTCTCTGTGTGTGCTATTAATCAGAGTGCTTGATAATTTCCACATTACGGATCCCCTTCGTTTGGAATGGGCGCAAACATCAATCTCTTCCAGTTGACTTCTCAGGCAGGTGTCTTCCTTCGTTTGTTGAAACATCTCAATTGATATTCTACCAATTGTGGGAGCCTTGTTTTCCAACCAATGCCTTGATCCTAAGCTACCACTTGAAATGGTTGAACACTGACAGG